TTTTGTAGGAGTAATTCATGTGAGACAAAAATCACGTGCTCACAATGAACCCCTAGTGAGAATGTTCTATGCGAATCTTCGTTCTAGTAGGTCTGATAAGTTGGAATCCTTAGTACTAGGAAAGTATATTGTTCTTGACTGTTCCATGTTTGATTCGATTTTTCAGTGCAAGTGTTCTGGTTTCCTTATGCTCTTTAAAAATTCCTGGCTCGATGATTTTTAAATTTCCTTTGATCAAGCAAAAAATGTATCGTTGAGTGTCCATTTGAATCTCTTCCAAACCAGCTCGGTCCTAGTGATGTTAGTTTTGAAACTCATGTTCTAGCGCACATTGTGGCAACTACTCTACTTCCTGTACTGGCTCTTTTTCCACTTTCTCTCTGCGAGACACTTTTCTGGTCTATTTCCTTGTGACCAAACTCAAAATCAAACTGTCCTCCTGGGTCATCAATTTCATGATTGAAAGTACAGAAGATCTCACTAGTCTACCCTATGGAATGGCCATCATCCACATTCTGGAAGCTCACAATATTTCCATCTCTGCATACTCTTTTACCACTGTTTCAAAATCATACAACTCCAAAGCCTTTGCAAGTATGGGGTATGTGTGTGTGAAGGGTTCATGGGTCAAGAAACAAGAAAGTGATGTCAAGACTGCTCATACAGACTCCAAGCCCAAACCTTCTGTTTCCCATCCTAGCCTTAGTAACTCTGACCTTGCTGAGAAAATTAGCACCATTGGCAATCAGCTCTCTGCAATCAAGGATCTTCTCATTGCCACCCAGTCCACTGTTGGTACCATTCATGCTATCTCCAAGGAAACAAGGTTTGATGTCTCCAAGATACGGGTTGCAGTTCTCAGAGTAAGGGAAAACGTTGTTAAGGCTTTCAAGGAGGTTCATGACTGGCTTGATGGAATGAGTGTCTCAGCCAACGCCAGCTTTGATCGACTAAAGGAGGACATTTGCAACACTCTTACCTATTTTCTACGTCGTTAGTTTAAGACAATATTTTTTTTTGCTGTGCTGTTTTTGGACTAAGATATCAGTCGGTGGATAATTTTTTTCCCTCTTTCTTTTGTTATGTTCTAACTCTACCAATACATTCTGCTATGGATTCTATTTATGCATGCCGCTTTGTTATTCCCTCTTTGTTGATGTCACAAAGGGGGAGAAAGGATATATGTATTTTGTGCAGGTACATAACAAGTCGACTATGGTACTCCTTGAGGGAGGTCAAAGATCCTGAAAAAGTCGACTACATACGCTTCAAGCTACTTACTACTCCTATTGAGGGGGAGAAAACTACAAGGAAGTCAACTGATGTTTATACATATATTATCTTATCATCATCAAAAATGGGGAGATTGTTAGATCTAATTTTAATGATGAAAATAATATATTTGCTCTTTGTATAGGAACTCTTGGATAGTTGTCAAGATTGGCGAAATCAATCAGCAATGATCAAGGAACGTATGGATTGATATACAAGATTGACGGAATATATCAGAAGACATCAAGGAAAAGAGACGCGATTAAAGGAAGAAGAAATCAATCAGAAGATACTGACGGGATCAATCAAGGCTAAACTAAAGGAATCAAATAAATCAAGATCTCGCTGAATATTCAATCAAGTGTCTAAATATGGAGGATCAAGATTCCGGGTTTAAAAGAGCCGTTGCAGAACATCGTTATTCTTGGAAAGAATCAATCTCTTTCCCAGGATCAAATCTCTTGGGTTGGCAAACCTTTCTAGAATTCAAGCCTCTCTCAAAGTATTTAAACTTGTAATCACACCTTAGCAAAACATACTTTGATCGAACCAAACACCCTCTCTTTGTTCTACTGCAAACAAACATTGCAGCTCTCTAAGACCTGATATGTAACAAGTTAGAGAAGAAAGAGAGAACAACACTGGTGAGGCATTGTATCAAAAGAGACGAGTGATATAAGAACTGAGCTATCACATCATTCTCCTTATACTCGAAGAAACTCATTAACTAAAGAGAACTCCCTTGCAACCCAAGGGGACTGGACTAGGATTCACATTGAATCCGAACCAGTATAAAAATTCTGGTGTCTTTAATTCCTGCATTTAATTTCAGCATCTTATATTCTGTTGTTACTACTGTCAGTTTATTAAAAACTAGTCAACTAACAGCAATTAAGTTTAAAAATAAACAATTCGCACCTCCCTGTACTTTCATAATTGACTTACCATATATATATATATATATATATATATATAAAAGAGGGAAAAAAGAAGGTGATGTGGCACCTCTTACAAATTAGGATTGCTATTTATCTTTTTTCTCAAAATTTTGTCCTTTTGTTAAACTCTATTAAAAATCTCCGATTATCGTTGTTACATCATTAATTAACTACAAAAGCCAAACGTCTCCACTAAACCTCGGTTAAGAGAAGGGACTATTAACATTTACTCCTTACCCGAAACGTTGCTAATAATCAAACGGTTTCAAGAATATTACTGCAAAAGAATTGTCTTAAATTAGCATTTATTGATTCTCCTGAAACGTTTTCTAATCAAACGATTAAAGAATACTGCAAAATAATGATTGCAAATTAAAGATGCGATGATCATGGAAGAGAGATTAATAGTTTAAATATCTGCAGTCAACACCTACCTTCACAACAACTAAGGGTTTAATTCTTCTAGATCAACAAAGGCTCCAGTTTTAGTCAAATAACTAATGCAAATATGAAAAGCCCGTCTGAAAATGCAGTTCACTGGTTCATCACCATTCAAAAAACTTTTTATTACTTTCCAGAACTTCTACTTCCATTCTCTCCTCTTATGAAGTTATGATAGATAAATTACGCTTTACATCAACTCTGGTCTCTCGATCTCAATATATATATTCGAGGTAAGAGACTGCTTCTTTGTACCTTGATTGCTTCATATTTTACTCTTCTTCTTTCCAAAAAGAATGCCTCTTATATATGAGTACAAGCAACAAATTTAATTGACAAAATATTAGCAAAAATCCAGTATAAATTATTAGTTAGTTATATGTAAAAAGAATTGAGAAAAACCATGAAAAGAAAAAAAAATTTTGTTTCCTCTAATAGAAGTAGTGCCTTTATTTTTGGGTATAGAGCAGTATCTGTTCTTCAATTTTTTGGTTCTTTCGTAAATTTGAATTTTGTATAGTATACTTTGCGCAAGACTTCTTTGAAATTTATATACTATCACTTCAAACTTCATAGTAATAGTAAAGATTAGTTACTTTTACAGCGTATCAAAACCAACAATCCACAGTTTCAATCAAGGTATGGTTTAAACCATTAGATTATTCTCACATGTTTTCGTTTTCTTTAATTATTTTTGTCATGTGTTTTTCCTTCAATTTTGGATCATATAAAAGTGGTATTTATGCCAAGATCAACTCAAAGAAACATTCATTCCAGTTTAGAAGTTTCAAACTTCTACAACATATCAAGACCAACAAAATTACTGTGTCAATCAAGGTATGGTTACAAAATTATTGTGTCAACAATATTGCTGTGTCATACTACATAGAGAAGTGGGAAAGGAAGAAAGGAAGAGCGAGAGAAGGTAAACGAAAGGGAACAGGAAAGGAATTACAAATAGCAAAAATTATAATAAAAAAGATATATAGAATTTAATTTGATTGAGTGCTTTTACACTTTTTTCTATTTAGTTCTCTTCACTTGAAATGTTGCATTCTCATTTTACCTTCCGATCTCGGTTATTGGTTAATTTCTTCATTGTTGTGGCTATCTAATTTTTATTAGTTTTTATTTTTGTTTTTGTAGTTCAACTCTTGACGGACCTACAACCAACATCTATATTAGTATTATTTATTTTTCAAAGTTTTAGAGAATTTATTATCCCTTGAAAATAAAATTGATAGTCGAACTGAATTGTTCGGGTCGATCAAGATCAGCTTCCAATAATTTCGAAAAGTACAATTAGATATTTTATCAGTATGAATCATATGGTTATTTTGGCCGGTAGTTGTGCGGTAAATGCGAGTAAATCTAACTCTAAGATTCAAAGAAGGTTTATCTTTTACTTATTTTTTTTAATTATTCCTAAGCATGGATGTAATATACATTGAAGTCACACTAATAACTCTAAGTGAACAAGAAAAGAAAAAATTAAATTACTAAAGTATCGGCCAGGTTGCATAAATTTTTTTTCTGCCTTTCTATAAAATATCGAAACTATCATTTTGACAATTATTGATGTTGTTGTTCGCGGGCAATTTGACTAGTTCAATGTATACTAGGTGAAATTGGTTGAGAGAGTAGGTGGGGATTGGATTCAACTCTCATGTCCTCCCCTTTCCCACATTCACCACTGAATCCTGATCTCCCAATATAATAGGAAAAAAGAAGTTAAACGCAACGAAAATATGAAGAGATGCAAATACATTCTAAGCTTTTAGTGCCATTTTAATGGACCTCTTCTTTCAAACTAGAGAACTCAAAAGCTGTGGCAAAAGAACTAAAATTGCTTACAGAATTTACATTCTCACATTTGGAACCATTTTACCATCCCAAGACTACACCAATGTTTGTGATTATTCAACACCCGCATTTGAGTTGGGACTTAAACAAACCTAGGCATCTATCTCATATTTTAAAGTAATGTAAGCAATAAATTACGTAATCTAGAATCATTACACTCATTTAGAAACTCTCATGCAGCCGAGCCGAGACATCTCATACTCTCGGAGTTCTCAGCACCTTCTTCGACAAAGACATCCCAGCTACAAACAAAATAGTGATCAACATGAGCATGTACAGGATATTAGAAAGCACAAATACGTCACTTTCTTATTTGACAATTGATGCATCATAAACGTGAATTTCCCATTTCACTAGCTACTATGCATAGCATTTAGACAATTCTATTGATGTTGAATGCCACATTAATAAACGCCAAATGATCTACTGACAATCAACTACGAGAGCCAGCAGGCAACTGTACAAAATGCCAGGTCGAAAGCGGGATAACTGGTAATCTGACAATCAAGTGTTTATTTTCCCTTAAGAGTATCAAACAGTTTAATAATTCAGGATATACATTAAAATGCAACTGAAAGTAAACCCGTAGAGCATAAAAGCCAGATACAAGAAAACAAACTAGATTTACATCCAAGCTCTCAATGAATGGTACTCAATGGCGGAAAAGCTTGAAATACAGGATAATAATGATTGCCAGGATAAGGGCTCCAATTACAGAGCCCATAATCCACTTGTTTCGGCTAATCCTTCTAGACATAGAAGTCAAGACCTTCTTGCTCTTGTCAATGGCATCATCCACACCATGAAGCTGTAAAAAAACGAAGACAATTAAACATAGCCACTCGGGTAGCTACACTAACCAGAACTGTTGAAGCTGCTCGAATAGAGGGCGAGGAGAAAAGTAAAGGGCTAACAGAACCAGAATTAAAGTATAAAAGTTATTCCAAATAAAGTATAACTAAAAACACAAAATATATTACGCTAAACAAAGGTCCCATACCCTATTATGTGAATTTAGCAGTGATTCACGCTGTTGTTGCAACTCCCCAAGGATTGAGACACCAAGGTCTTCAGTCTCCAGGGCAGCCCTCCGGCTCTCCCTGATTCTGTCACTTGACTGATCTAGCCTCTCTGTTGTCATTGCTAAGCGTTCCCTATGATTTGCAGAAGCCTGTGAAAAGTAGGGCTGTTAACGAGTGAAAGAAATCCACCCAAGAAATGCAAATATAATTCAACTAGCCACATACTTCGACTAAGACAATATGTTTTGTCTACCATCTATTTCTTGAAAATCGACCAAACAAACATTAGCAGCCTTGTCTTTAGCCATGCTGCACATCAAATGCTTCAACTATGTTTGCATAAGAAAGAGAAGGAATTGAACTGGTAAGCAGGTAATATACACTGAACCTTTTCTATGCTTGGCAACATGGAATTTCATCGTTTAGTGATGGGGCTTGACCAACAATGATCACTAACCATATGAAGTAAAACCAATAGATGGGGATATCAATGTAAGTCAACCTAAGTAAATAAATCCTCTTAGATATTGATTTGACCGGCTCTGATATCAACAACCAAGTATGACCACTACATATAGAACCACGTCTAGCTTCTCAACTAGAAAGTTGGGTACAGTGGATGCTAATATATCAATCAAGTCAAAGTCATATAACTTCGAGACTACTGCCACATAGTTGGGCATCACCACACAACTTGTCTATGGCAAATGCTAATACATCATTCAAGTCAAATTATATGAGAGCATGTATGACATAGTGAAATCCATGAAAATAATAACAAGAAGAAAAAAAGGAGAAAAGGGAAGTTTTACTATACATACTGCATGTGGATCCATCATTCCAGACTCTAAATCATGGGCAGCTTGATTAGCACCAGTCAAGGCTAGTTTATTAACTTCTTTCTTCAGTTTATTCAGATCTGATTTGTATTCCCTTAGTTTCGCAAGTAGTGCTGCTTTTAAACTCGGCTGCAAACTTCTTGCCTCAAGATCCATTTTCCGTATCTAAGCGCAGACCAGCATTCATCATCAGTTCTAAAAAAGGAATTTTTTTCCAGAGGAATAAAACCTAAAATTCAATGACTTACCAACACATCTGCATCATCCAATCCCACTTTAAGTTCGGATGTCTGTTGCTTTTTCGGCTCTGCTTATTGAAGTTGCAAAGTAATAATAATCATCCGTTAGATAGTGGTAACAGAAAACATTTAACAACTTGCGAAAGCCTTAACACAAAAAAAGGAAATTAGAAGCTTGTTTGGTTGTTTATTCAAGCAGTATAAACTAAATAAATTAGGGAAACTACACACTACCATACATAAAATCATGATTTGTATAAAGACAATCAATCAATCAAACAATCTCAATCCCACACTAGTTGGCTAGCTATATGAATCATCATTTTTTCTTCCACTTTGTACAGGCCCATTTTATTTCAATGTTGGTGAATTATTTGTCTGTTAAGGCAAATAAGGGTTCTCCAAACCTAAGTATTCTTAAATCTCACGCTTATCTCTACACTAAAATACAAAGCTCAAACCAGACCTAAAAGATTCTTGGCGAACATTAGAAGCATAACAAATTTATATAGATAAAAATGCAGAATTTATATAAAGAAAATCAATCAAAGAACTCCCTCTTAGCTGGGGTCGGCTACAAGGGCAGATCTAGCTAACAACCTATGACCTTCATCCAAACTCAGTAGCTTTCAGCTCGGATCCTGTAGATGTGCTAAATTCATTAAATAAGTACAAATAATAGATTTCGAATCCAATAAACCAATGGGCTGTGGTAGAATACCAACTCGAACCAATAATGTTCAAATCCTAGATTCGTCTCTGGTCGGCTATATGAATCATATTCCGCTCTATATGGGCTTATTTCAATTATACTGGAAAATGGTTTCACTTTTAAAGCAAATTAGGAGTTCTCCAAAACTAAAGCTTCTCTAAATCTCACAGTTAACCATTTTTTCTAAGAGGAATTATTGTAGCAGTAAAGTGAATCTCACACTTATCCCTACACTAAAATAAAATTCTTTCACCAGTCTCAAATGAATGATGTAAGAGCACATAAACTAAGTCTTAGTCCTAACTATAATTGATATCGCCTATTAGCTAAGTCCGCATAAATCCCGAGAACTGATAATTCCGCATTGATCCCCAAAATTCATATTTACTCCATTCCATTTTATGTGAACTTTTCGCTTTTCGAGATTCAAACTATGTGAAGTTTAATCAACATTTTAAAATGCATTTTTTTATCATATTGACATGAGAAGAATTGCAAGTTATAGTACTTTTCATAGAGTTTTTGAATATCTAAATTTTAACTTTAAAATATCGAGTTAATCTAATTCAATTTAGCTTCAAAGATTAGTCAAATTGACTCTCCAAATATGAAAAAGGTTCACATAAACTAAAACTTGGAATAAGAAAAAATTCAAGTGAATAAGTTACCTCCATCAGGCAAAAGAGCAGCAGAACTGCATTTGTGAGACAAACTGACAGAGAGTTCACAGTACTGCCTCTCATATCCCTCAAAAACTTCACTCATCTTCCCTAAAAAATCTCCACTCAAATCATAAATTCAACCTGTAAACAAAGACAAATCAAATCAAAGGATTGAATCAAGTTCAAAATTCAACTCAAACTTCATAATTTAGTACTAGCTACAACACTTCCAATTCACAAACCCTAGATTCTTGAAAAACCCAAACAGAAAGAAACAAAAACACAATCGATCCACAATATACAAGCAAGTAGATACGTGTATATGTATAGACTAAATATACACAGTAATGAAAGCGTACTACGTACGTAATGATCGCAGAAGGAGATGTACGTTGAGTCACCGACGAGTTAAGACTGAGTTGACTCGGATCAGAGCTCTGTTAGGAGAAAATGAATTTTCATAGAAATGGTTGTTACTCTCTCTCTCTCTCTCTCTCTCTCTCTCTCTCTCTCTCTCTCTCTCACACACACACACACACACACAGAAGTTTTTTCTTTTTTCCTGAAAAGTCCTCCAGCTTTGGAAAAACGATGAGATTATAAGTTAATTTAAACTCTTTTACTTATTGTGTAGTGTATACCCAGTCTACAATTTATATGACAGTAGCAGCTAGACACGTAATGCAGTGTAATTGGACTTGTCATCCATTATATTTGTTGTCATAAAAAAATTAAAGTAATTTTTAGAAATCAGTTTCATAGATATTATCTTATTAATGTCAGTATTAAAATTTAAAGAAATTTAAACCTGTGTAAAATAATTTTGTTATTTGAATAAGATTGTTATTTTGAGAAAAATGCACATGTATTTCTTCATTGTTTTGTACTTGTAGAAAGTCGCATTCTTTTCATTAAAATTATAAATTACAATAACAACAACAAATCCAGTATAATTTCACAAGTGAGATCTGGGGAGGGTAGTGTGTACACAGAACTTAACCCTACCTTGTGAAGATAGAGAGATTGTTTCCAATAAACCCTGTGCTCAAGGAGATTAAAAATTTAATTTGAAAGTGTTACGCATAGAATGAATGAGATAAATCCAAATGGAACAACATGATATAGAAGATGATTACCAACTTGCCGTTAGAGCTTTGATCTAGTGGTAAGGGGCCATCTCATTATCCATCGAGGTATAAATCGTGTGTCACTGATCCTCAACAATTTCTTGATAATCAAAAAAAAAATGTAAAAACTAAACTAAAATGTTGCTGACAAGATCATGGATTGGTAAATTTTGACTTGTAAAGAACTCAAGTATTGTAGGATGAAAAAACTAATTAATATATAAAATATCCAAATTTTGGTAATTCTAGGTTCTAGCTAGCAATCACAAAAAGTGAATATGCAGAATTCTCTTAAGCTTTTGCTCCGATGCCAATGCATCTTCTGGCAATAAGTCAATCAGACGCAAGTTAAAGCTTGTTTGGACGATTGTTACGTATCATTTCATAATGTATCGTACCGTACTGCATTGTACTATATCGTTTGATAAATACAATGTTTGGATAGATTGTATCATTTGTCATTATTTCATGATATCTCGCACCAACAATAAGAAGAATAAACTTGCAATATTATAAAGAAAAATTATGATACAGGGTAAAAATATTATATAAAAATGTAGGGTAAATGATAAAATAAAATTATTTAATAATAATGAAGGGTGAGATTGAGAGAAAAAGACAAGGTAACGACGCGACCACACCAAATCGGTTGTTACATAAAGTGGCACATTTTCTCGCTATGTAATGACGGATTTAACGATTTGATACAATAAAATTTAAGTAACAATCAAAACAAACATCGTATTTAAAGTAACAATACGATACAATACAATGGGTAACAACAATCCAAACAAGTTGTTAGGAGTTAGGACCTTTGACTCCCAACATTGTAATAAACACAGCAAACATAGCAAAATTTTCATTCTTCTTCAAATTGTGCAGAGAAAAGTAGTTGCTTTGGAAACAAGAACCAGACCACAAGATGATGCTAAAATACTAGTGAAACAAAAGAAAGTAAAGGGATGAGAAAGGGATAGCTCAATATTAAGCAATCTCCATCACCAGAAGGTCGAAGGTTCGAGTCACACTGATCAAAAGTGGAAAACGACTACTATATTAATTACAGCAAAGCCTGAAAGAGAAAATACAAAAACCACTTTGCCACTCATCACCAGAGGTTCTTAACAAACTTAGTACTGAAACTTTTTAGCAAAAACACTCTCCATGACCAACATTACACAAATGGTCACGTGTCAAACAGTGGACATTTCAAATTTTCATGTGACGAAGCTGCACAAGTCTAATACAATGACAGGGTAAAAACTAGGTTAGAACTCTACATTCTGTACAATATGCTCAATCTAATACAATATCTGCGATAGATCATGTTAAATTCCTCAAGGAGAAAGTGAGCAGATATTCATTTCTATGTATTCTATATCAGGGCAAAAATATGCAAATCCTTTGCCTCACATACTGCAAATTTGGACACAAATCATCTAACAGACTTAAAGATAAGCTTCAGTACTATCTCAACTCGGACCAGTTTCATCATATGCACTTCTACCTATGTCTGTCTGGTCAGAGTCTAAGTGTCCTGGCTCATTATCAGGGAACACCTCAGATTGCAGAGAAGGAACGATATTATTCACGTGCAACCATGTCAGCTCCCACAAGCTATCTCCANAAGCTATCTCCGCCGAGAGCACCCCTCTGAACAAGTACCCCCTTAGATTTCATTACAACCAAGGTGTTCTTAAGAAGTTCAGGGACTAGCTCCTGAAGCTTTTCACTTTTCTTACCTCTAAGCTTCACCTTCATGTATTTCTCCATCCGGTTGAGGACTCCAAGCCAGAGTTTACAGAAGGTGGTCAATTGAGATAGCTCGTGAAGCAATTGTAAAAACACCTTAGTTAAAAGCTTCAAGGCAAGAACAAGCGTCTCTTCCATGTTTCGATAATCTTTCTGTGATGTGAGCTCAATCAAGTCGTCCAGCATTGTGAAAATGACAATATCAAAGCACTGCAACCAGAGACCATGTGGAAGGTAAATTTCATCTACTCCTGTCAAACACATTTGTAGGGATGAAAGAGCATGATTCCTAACTTCTCTCTGATCCAGACAAACTTTCCTTAGACCCTGTACAAGCCTCAGCCACATTTCCCCTATATCCTGAGACAGCTTCAAAGCTTCTGCCTCCGCCATCGCTTCCCTGGCATCTTTGGACCAGCGTGCTAAACAAGCAACAGAACCTGCCATAAGATGCACCGCACAAGCAGGTCTATCAGCTGGTCCAGTACGGGATTCTGCAAAATTTCTTGCTGCATCAATGCAAAGAACATAATTAGCTGGAGACAAATGGGCTCCCTCAGACATGATGAAACATAGGGCATCAAATCCTGGTTCCGAAGCTTCTGTATGTCGAGCTGTAAAAGAAAGTAATTGAGTAATATTTCGCCATCCCATTTGAGATCGGATATGTGGAGCATTTGCTTTAACCAGCCGACTCACTTCCTGCGTAATTTGTTCGCAGTATGCATCAGCTACCCGGGCATCAAGCTTGAGAACAAGATGTAGTGACTTTAGAAGTTCATCTGCGAAGTTCTCTTTATAAGGAAGAAGTCTCTGGCAGATGCGCAGTAGTCCAAAAACAGCTTTCTCAATTAGAGCACAAGGCATTATTGTTGAGTGTACAATATTAGCACTATGTTCATAAACTCCCTGCCAAAGAAGTTCTATTCTATCTCTATTGTTCAAGGTGATTGCAATCAGCAATTCCAAGCAGAACACTGCGGTATCTTCATCCTCGGGGGAACTACTGCCCTTCTGAGGTCTCCCTGCAGCCCATATGAGGGCCCTTGCCAACTGCAACAAAGAATCAGCTAGGAGAAACTTACTTCCTGTGAAGATGGTATCAATATGGCATTTCTGAATTGTCTGCAGTGTGCGCTGATGAGCCGCAAGTTGTTGCTCAGTAGGTTGAGACCTAGGCTCTTCCGTATCTAGAGATAGGAGTTGACTAAACCGGCCCATAAGTCCTGAAGATCTTCTGGGAGTACCTAGGGATTGCATATGAGCAGCAGACGATGAATTTGTGAGGGGTTTCCCATGTCCTGGATCAGAACAAGCCTCTGAATCATCAGCCGCATCACTGGCCACACGAGCAGGAAGAAGGCCAAGCTTGTGCAGTCTTAAGATGCAATCCAAG